ATTGAAAGGAGATTTAATCGATTAAACGAGTTCGATCGGTCATAATTGCATTATGACCGATCATAATAGAAACGATATCATAGCGGTTCCAGGTGAACCGCTATCTAAGTGAAGTTTTAAAAGCGGTTCCTGTGAAACCGCTTTCTAAAACATATTTCGCTTGAGCGATAATATTCTCGCTCGAGCGAACAACTGTGCAGAAACTGTGTTTAATCAATTAAAAGAGTTCTGATCGGTCATAATTGAATTCTGACCGATCATAATTGAATTCTGACCGATCATAATTGAATGATATCATAGCGGTTCCAGTGGAACCGCTATCTAAGTGATCTTTTAATAGCGGTCTCTGTGTAACCGCTTTCTAAAATATATTTCGCTTGAGCGAGAATCTTCTCGCTCGAGCGAAACACCCTCGCACAAAATTTTGTAAATGTTTTTGTAAACATATATCTTTAATATTTTGTAAATGTAAATATAATTTATATATATTTTTAAATCTTTTTCTAATATTTATTTTTAAAAATATAATATTATTTTTAAAATTTAATATTTTTTTTCAAATATATAAAGATATAAATGTATAAGGATATAAATAAATATATAAATATATAAATATATTAATATATAAATATATTAATATATAAATATATCAATATATAAATATATCAATATATAAATATATCAATATTATCCCCTCATATATTAATATACATTATTAGCATAATTTTAATTTAATTAAAAATTAGAATACAAATATACTATACTATACTAATATACCATTATATTATTTTCATTGTATATAAATTACAAAATTAATAATTTGTATACTATACTATGCTAATATATTATTTGTATACTATACTAATAGTATAATATACTATATTATAATATTATTTGTATAGAAAACTAATATCTTTATATATAAATATGAAAAGATATAAATATATGTAAAAATATAAAGATATAAATATATCAATATATTGATTAGATTTTCGAAATGATACAAATATATAAATATATAAAGATATAAATGTATAAGGATATAAATAAATATATATATATAAATATATCAATATATAAATATAAGTTTCTTGTAAAACTTTTCAAGTTATTTTAAGCTGATAAAAATAAGTTTTAATCGATTAAAACCCCGTGCGAAATTGTTTTAATCGATTGAAACAAGATTTAATCGATTAAAAGAGTTCGATCGGTCATAATTGCATGCTTGAATGATCATAATTGAAACCATATAATAACGGTTTCAGGTTAACCGCTATCTAAGTGAGCTTTTAAGAGCGGTTCTCGTGTAACCGCTATCTAAAATGTATTTCGCTTGAGCGATACTCTTATCGCTCGAGCGAAACGTCCCCTGCACAAAATTGACATTCTCGGATTGTATTTCGCTTGAGCGACTCTAATCTCGCTCGAGCGATGGTGCAACCGCTATTAGAAGTAAATATAAACATATAAATATATACTATACTATACTATATACTAATATACCATTATATTATTTTCATTGTATATAAATTACAAAATTAATAATTTGTATACTATACTAATAGTATAATATACTATATTATAATATTATTTGTATAGAAAACTAATATCTTTATATATAAATATGAAAAGATATAAATATATGTAAAAATATGAAGATATAAATATATAAAAATATAAATATATGTAAAAATATAAAGATATAAATATATCAATATTTAAATATATATTAAAATATATAAATATATTTTTATTTATAGATTTTATATTTATATATTTATACGGATATACATTTATTTGTATATAAATATAATTTATTTGTAAGTTATTATTAAAAGATCCTAAGTAGCTCGATGGTTGGAGTTTCGACCTCCAACTCTAAGGTACCGGGTTCGAATCTTGACAATGACAATAAACCACTTAATAATAAGTTAAACTTCTAATAAATATAATATAATTAAGAGATAGGGAAAAAAAATAATAGATATAATCAAAATAATTAAATTTGTTATTGATCTGAATCAGTGACCGATTTGATTATATCTATTCGGTCACTAAATCGGTCACTGAAATCAGTGACCAAGGAAATAGTGACCGATTCGAGTTGGTCACTATTTCGGTCACTATTTTAATTAGTAACCGATTTTGCACATTTAGTGACCGAATTTTCGGTCACTATTTAGTGTTTTTGTTGTAGTGTTTTTCAACATGTTTTGCGCAAATATGTGCTTGTGTTCTTTGATGATATTCTCGTGTATAGCTCCTCTTGGGTGGCGCATTTGGCCCATTTGGAATCAGTTTTGCAGACTTTACAACAACATGTATTGTATGCTCGACTTTCTAAGTGTTCTTTTGGCTTACAGGCAGTAGATTATTTGGGCCATGTGGTGTCGGGTTCTGGGGTCACAATGGACAAAGGTAAGGTCCAAGCAGTGTTGGAATGGCCTCGTCCGAAGAATGTCAAACAACTACGGGGTTTCTTGGGACTCACCGGATATTATAGACGTTTCATCCAGTCTTATGCTACTATTGCGGCTTCCCTTACTGATTTGCTGAAAAAGGAAGCTTTTGCTTGGACTACTGCGGCCGATGACGCATTTCAATTACTAAAACAAGCCATTACTACAGCCCCCGTCTTGGCCCTTCCTAATTTTACTCAACCTTTTACTCTTGAAACTGATGCTTCCGGAACGGGAATTGGTGCAGTGTTGAGTCAACTTGGTCACCCAATTGCTTTTTTCTCCAAAAAGATGGCACCTAGAATGCAGAAACAGTCCGCCTATATTAGAGAATTGTTTGCTATCACCCAAGCGTTGGCAAAATTTCGTCATTATTTGTTGGGGCATAAGTTTGTCATCCGAACAGATCACCAAAGTTTAAAAAGTTTGCTAGACCAGTCCTTACAAACTCTTGAGCAACAAGCTTGGCTGCATAAATTTTTGGGTTATGACTTCACAATTGAATATAAACCAGGGAAAGAGAACATTGTTGTCGATGCATTGTCACGTGTTTTTTTTATGGCTTGGTCCGAGCCTAAGTCACAATTCTTACTCGAGTTAAAGCATGCTCTTGAGGCTGATTCTAAATTTCATGAACTCATTCAATTATGTTTGGCAAATGGTCATATTGATGCACGTTACAAAGTGCAAGATGGGTTGCTTTATTGGAAGGATCGCCTAGTGTTACCCGCACCAAGTCTTTTGATTGAAAAGGTGTTTCAGGAATATCATAGTTCATCGATTGGGGGCCATGCTGGTATTGCTAGAACGTTAGCACGTCTTTCCTCTCAATTTTATTGGCCTACAATGCGAGCAGACGTTACTAAGTTTGTGTAACAATGCATTATATGTCAACAGGCCAAAGCGAGTCACTCACTCCCTGCAGGTTTGTTACAACCGCTACCCATACCCCAACAAGTATGGGAGGATATTGCCATGGATTTCATCACTGGGTTGCCAAATTCATGTGGGTTCACAGTTATTATGGTGGTGATCGATAGACTTTCCAAATACAGCCATTTTGTGCCATTAAAATCAGACTACAGTAGCAAAGTCGTGGCTGAAGCATTCATGTTGCATATTGTCAAGTTACATGGCATTCCAAAGTCCATCATGTCGGATCGCGACAAAGTTTTCACTAGTTCTTTTTGGCAACACTTATTTAAGTTGCAGGGCACAACACTTACTATGAGTTCCGCTTACCATCCGCAAACGGATGGTCAAGCAGAAGCCTTGAATAAATGTTTAGAGATGTTCTTGCGCTGTTTCACTTTTGAAAATCCCAAGTCGTGGTCCAAACATTTGACGTGGGCAGAGTATTGGTATAACACATCTTTTCATACCAGTCTGGGTATGACCCCATTCAAAGCTTTGTATGGCAGAGAGCCACCTGCTTTAACTCGTTATCAGCGCAGCCCAACTGACCCGAGTGCTATTCAAGATCAACTCACTGAGAGAGACCACCTCTTAGTCCAGTTGAAATATAACTTGACTAAAGCACAACAGCGGATGAAGCATCAAGCTGACAAAAAACGATCTGACTTGCAATTTCAGATTGGCGATCAGGTCTTGGTCAAATTACAGCCGTATCGACGACATTCTGTGGTTTTACGTAAGCACCAAAAACTGTCTATGCGCTGCTTTGGACCATTTAAGGTGGTTGCTAAGGTGGGTGTGGTTGCTTATAAGTTGGAGCTTCCCGAGACTGCCCGCATTCACCCAGTTTTTCACATTTCTCAGCTGAAACCATTCACGGGAATTACCACTGAGCCATATATGCCACTGCCACGTACAACTTCGGAGTTGGGTCCCATTTTGCAACCTGTGGCTATCCTCCAAGCTAGAAAAATTTTACACGGTTCTAAGTTGTGTTCTCAGGTTTTGGTCCAATGGGATAATTGTAACAATGCTGATACTTCTTGGGAGGATGTCGAGTTTATTAAAAATAGTTTCCCTCATCTCAACCTTGAGGACAAGGTTGTTATAAAAGGGGAAGGCAATGTAATGAAGGTGCCAGCTGGACAAGCTTACATGAAAAATAATGATGCTGCAAATATACAAAGAGAGGAACACAATATGGGAAATGATTGGGTAGTTGCTAACAACCCGGAAATTCAGGAAGTGAGACGTGGGACGAGGACACGTAACCGCAGTAGCATGTTGAGAGAATTTGTGTGAGGAATCTTTTATATAAGGAGAGGGAGAAGGAGGTAGTGGGGGGTGAATGAACATGTATCTCTCTTTCTGAGAATTCTCTTACTTTTCTCCGACTCTGTGATTTTGCTGTACCCTTTTCAACCATCTTGGTTGATAGGAAATTCCTTACAGATTTTAATAAAACAGTACCATCATTTTCTTGCTTATCTCTTCTTTATCTGTATTCTCAAAACCCACCACATTGTATACATTATCGCTTGAGTAATATCAGAGGATAAAAACCATTATTTATATGATTTTTACTCATATTATTATAACACAAAACAAGTTCAAACATTTGTTCAAATGGTGAAGTTAAGGACACACGGATACCTGGTGACCAAAGCAAATGCCAAGGAGTTTCTTCTTCATGGCATCAAGAGCTTGCAACATGGAACAAAGTTTGAGAATCCAGTAGTCATTTCCGTAAGCATCACTAGGGCTGCCACTGATCACAAATCCATCATATTTATGCAGATTATTGAAGTCGGGAAAATGCCCCTCATAGACTCTGAACAAATCCCACATATCTCCCTCCTCCCCAAAGGCTTTTGCATAGACGTTGTAATACCCACCATAGGCTTTCTTTATATCGTCAGAATCATGCATTGCTTGCAGCAGTGCATATCTTCTACTTTCACCATCCATTACCATCTTGAAGCTTGCTAGGCTCAAAATGAAATTGAGTTTAGCAACAAGAGTTGCGGTTTGAAGTCTAGAAAAGAGAGGTTCTTGTGTTTTGGGTTGTAGAGTAACCAAGTCTTCGTATATAGATAGCAATTCCTATAACTTGCTTTGTTATATATCTCTCTAGCTAAGACTGCATATATTCTTGGACCAATGGTAGAAGAAGCTTCCTACTATGATTCTCACGTGTGGGTTTGTGCAAAATAGGGACAAACCCAGGATTGCTTGCAGGAGAAATGAAGTCAGTGGGAGTGTTAAAATGCAAAATATCTTTCTTACATGTCAAAAATCCATCTTTTATCTTGTTGCAAAATACTGTCTTAATTATAGTCATAACTGGAAAATGTTGATCTATAGTAGGTATAATGAAAATAAATAATGCAACAGTAAAAATAAAAATAATCACCCTATATAAAAAAAAAATTACAGCTAATGATATAAATTGTAAATAGTTTCCCATTTTTTCAAAATTAAGAAGCTGTCTGATATTATTGAAGTACTTCAATTACATTCTTAATGATCTTGTCTCATATTTTTGTAAAATCTTATAAGTAAAACTTTGTCAATAAAATCACTAATGTATTTGATATAATGGACTACAAAGGAAGGGAGAGAATATCCTCAAGCATCCAGTTCTTATTAATTGATAAATCCATTTCATCAATGGCAACACGCATAATCTAGTGGTTGGAATAATTTAATTAAAGCCATTAAATACATAAAATATTATTGTTTCAGTATAGACTTGGTTAGAATCTAAAGATGTATGAGAATATTTTTGTAAGGATATAATTGTAACTATTTTTATAAGTCAAATTTAGAGTTCTAATTTCCATACATCTATTTTTAGATTGAAGTAACATAATAAATATGTAACTAGTTATTGTTCTATACTTATTTAATTGTATAAAATAATTAATAACTTTTATTACTATAAAAAATAAATGATAAAAATAAATAATAAAAATCTCATTCTTGTTGTAAATTTAATTTTAACTATTGGGATTAAGATAATTATATACTTATATTAATACATGTAATAATAATATATTAACATATTAATAGTATATTTATACTCTTTATAATATTTTTATCTAACTTAAAAAAATATTATATCGATAATATAATAAATACTGTAAACACGTTATAAGTGTTATTAGGTTGGATTTAAAATCTTGAATCCAACTGTATTAGTTTGATTTAATTTTTGAGGAAATAATCATTTCAACCAAACATAAAAATTATATTTGATTCATTTTAATTCAATTTTAATATAATATAAAATATAAAATAAACCAAATGGATTTGATTTGATCAATTTTATAGTTTCTATGCTTGTAAATTATTAAATATTTTATAAAAAAATCTTAAATAATATGACATATTGTATAATAATTTTTTATAATTATTATTACATTCATAATTTTGATTTTTATATTTATAAATAAATTACATTATTTTATAATTAAAAATTATAATCTAAATTTACTATTATATTTTTATAAATATAAATATATGAAAAAAAATACCATCAAATTATAAAATAATCTTTAAAAAGACACACACACATATATATATATATATATATATATTAATTGGTAATTAATTTTAGATATACAAATATTATATTTAAATATATATAGTTTAGTTTAATTCTTGATTTTTAACATTTTATTATAAGATTTTAATTGTTTATATTTTTTATTAATTTCTGAATATTTTTTACATGGATAAATTTTGACTACTGGTATCCAGTGGCAGGATTGAAATACTGATTCAATGGAAATGTGAAGAACTTGGTTATCAACCCACTGAACTGATTTCAAACTAGATATGGGTCCGACCATTATTCATATTACACACTCCAAGGTACAACATAAATCTTTCACAGTCCAAGGAAAAATGAAAGAAGCTCACATGATCCAAAAACACTGTTGCAGAACCCTATAATGTTTCTTGGAGACTCATTTCTCACCCAAGCTAGCTTTGTTGGAAAATTAATAATAATAATAATAATAATCCTAATTTTGATTCTAACGATCAAACATAAACATAATTTATACTGATAAACATGTTGTAAACTGAATGCGAAAAGGTATCTGAATTAGTCATAATGATGATGTCTTTGTAGAGCACTGTATTGATCTTATGGTCTTCCACCTGAAGAGCACCTGTATTTCCCTCTTGATTTTCTCTCTTGATGGGGATAGAAAGAAAGGAACAAGAATGAAACTTACGTTCTGTCTATGTGCTCCCAGAAGGGGACCACGATCCCTTAAAATAACCAGAATTAGGTTAATTACTTAAGTTTCAGTATTTCCAATTTGGCCCCTCATCAAATTAGAAATTGCTCAATGGTCTCTACACAATTTTGTTTTCCTGACATATGCCTTTAGCCAAAACTTTAATTTAGTTAGATCACTTTATTATTTGGCTTAATAAATAATTACTCTAACACATTTAAATTATGTATCATATATATACATGACCCAAATTTTGCCAACAATCTCCCATTGGTCACAAATATATATGTCCTTACAACCTTACAAATGTGTTATACTTTATGAGCTCAAAATTGTCATTATATTCCTTTAGCATACTCCAAAAGTCCTGTCCATTAATCATATCAGAATATAGAACCAAACCAGTTTTTCATTGCATCATCGCAACTAAAACCAACAATGATTACTCATCCTAACATAACCAAATGACATGAATTCATCATGAAATGTGTAGCATGAAAAATTACGTGAAAGTGATCTGTACACGTCTATTTTCAACTGGTCCAAACTTTAACTTATTGAGATCGATATAATATCCTTAATGTACAAAGTGTAATGAATGAACGAAAAAACCGCATATCTATAGATAACCAAATATGTCCAAAAGACAATGTATACATATATGAAATTAAACATAGAACATAAAATATATGAAAGTGACTAACTCCCACTAAACCACAAATTCCTCAAACTGTAAAACATTAATGTGAGCAAAATGCTCATGAAAGACCTTGGGCGGAAGTCCTTTAGTCAGAAGATCTGGTATCATGGAGTTTGTCCTTAAGTGTTCTATGAAAATCTGTCCACTTTGTACTCTTTTCTTAACAATACAGCTGATTTATTGTCATAATATAACTTAAGTGGTCTTTCAATGTCTTTCACAATTTGCAGCCCTGTGACAAAATTTCTCAGCCATATTCCATGATTTGATGCCTCATAGCATGTTACAAATTCTTGACATCCTACAAAATCTGAGTCAGAAAACCCAGCGATCTCCAACTGGTCTGCCCTCCTATATGTGAGCATATAATCTTTTGTTTTCTTTAAATATCTTATGACCCTTTTTGCTGCTTTTCAATGGTCTATTCCTGGATTGCTTAAATATCTGCCTAGAACCCCAACTATGTATGCTACGTCTGGACGCGTACATACTTGGGCATACATCAAACTCCCTACAACTGATGCATAGGGAATTTTTTGCATTTCCTCAATTTCCAAATTCCCCTTTGGGCACTGATTGAGACTAAACTTGTCTCCCTTTAAACTTGTGATGCACACAATCATCAACAATATTCATCTTGAAGTCAAATGAGTTTCATACCTTCTGGTAATGGGACAAGTTCCCAAACCTTATTGTCTTGCATGGACTTATACTTCTCCTTCATTGCTTCAATCCACTTTTGAGAGTTAGAACCTTGTATAACTTGACGGAAGTTAACTGGGTCATCTTCCATTATATCATTATTTTCCTCATGTTCCTGAAGAAATACCATGTAATCATCCAAAATAACACTTCTTCTTTCTCTAGTGGATCTCTGCAAAGTTGTTAACTCATGATGCACAAGTTCTTGAGGATCTTGAGTTTGTTCTTCATGAACAACCAAATCATATTGAGCAAGGGGTTCATCAATAATGCCTTGTGGAGGTTCCGAACTTACTTTATCAAAAGTAACTATTTGAATCGGTTCTGGAATTGTTACCGATTCTTCCTCCAAGACAAAGTTCCTGATTTTATTCTTCCCCCCAAACTCAATATCCTCAAAGAACGTAGCAGTTCCCGTCTCAAAAATTGTCTTTAATGTGGGATCATAAAATTTATATCCCCTGGATCTTTCAGCATAACCAATAAAATAACTACTTACTGTTCAGGAGTCCAATTTGTTTTCATTTGGCTTATAAGGCCTTGCCTCAGCTGGACATCCCCACACATGGAAATGCTTCAGACTAGGCTGTCACCCAGTCCAAAGCTCATAAGATGTTTTGGTAGCTGCTTTAGTTGGTACTCTGTTTAGAATATAAGCTGTCATATTTAGTGTCTCTCCCTAAAGTGATTCCAGTAAGGTGGAATGACAAATCATACTCTCTACCATATCTTTAAGAGTGTAACACAAGCCCAAACGTCACAATTTGATGTTACCTGAGCACTTGTGCCACAATGCACTTGAGTGAGTATTTTCAATTCTACATTTAGTACCACATGATTCTGTATTAAGAGTTTCATTATACGTGGCCACAATATCAAGTAAATACTGATTATCATAAATCAAAAGTGAACCAGTTCCAACAATATCTGAATTAAAAGACAAACTGAACTTATTGTTTCCAAATGAACACAAATAACCTAATTTGTCCAAATAAGAAACTGAAACCAAATTATGTCTAAATGACAGCATAACAAAAGTGTCTTTCAAATCCAAATAAAAAATCAGTACTTAATAACAATTTAAAATGCCCTATAGCTTCCACCTCTACCGATTTGTCATCTCCAACATAAATCCATCTTTCAGAATCAATTGGCTTCCGGTAGTTTAGGAAACCCTTTCTTTTCACACCAAGCATGATATTTAGCACATTTCTTCTTTACGTGTCCAGTCTTATTGCAAAAGAAACATTTGTTTTCTTGAGTTTGTTTCTTTTGTTTTGGACCCTTCGCACCTTCTTTCTCGAGATCCTCTAATCTCTTTCTTTTGCCCTTAGCCTTGGAGGTGCTTGCAAAATGAGCATTTTCTGTCTTGTCTTGCTTTAGTCTTTCCTCTTCTTGTATGCAATGTGAAATGAGCTCATTAAGAGACCATTTATCCTTCTGACAGTTGTAAGATACCTTAAATTGATTAAACGTTGCAGGAAGAGAAATCAACACCAAATGAATGAGCAAGTCTTCTGAGAGTTCAAGCTTTAGTGTCTTGAGTTTAAAAACAATATTGGACGTGCTCATAATGTACTCCCTGATATTTCCTTTGCCTTGATATTTCATGGAGATCAAGTTCTGAAGAAGAGTGTTTGCCTCTGCCTTATCGATTTTTGCAAAGCGCTGCTCAATTTCAGCAAGAAATTCTTTGGCACTTGTGATGTTTTTAGAAATAGTGCCCCTAAACACCTCTGGCATGCCACGTTTAATGATCATTAGACTCATGCAATTTGAGCGATCTCACTTCTCATAATCTCTTTTCTGTTCAGAGGTACTTGAATCCGTAGGAGTAGGGGGTTGCTCAGTCCTTAACGCAAGATTCATATCCATGCAACCAAAAACAATATCAATGTTCTCTTTCCAGTCCTTAAAATTTGTTCCATTGAGGACCGGAACAAAATTTAAATTGGCAGATAGAGAAGCAATTGTAGCTGAATTTAGAACACGAGAAATAAAATAATTATGCTCACATTATATAAAAAATAAATAATATATATTCAAATAGTGGTTTAACCCATCTCAAGACACCCAATGCACCATCAATATCAAGTCTTTGGACAGTAATATTAACTGCTAGAGGTATCTTGTTGTAATAATCAAACAATGACAATAAAGCACGTCCAACAACAAACCAGCCTTTGGATTGATTTATCATCAACAAAGCAAATCCTTATAATTATCACATGTTTATCATTACAAGTGTGTATGCAATTCGGCCAAATATTAATCTTCCTTTCGGCCGACTAATACTCGCATGAATATACACAAACACTAACATTCAATATTTTTCATGAACTGCCCAATTCAAGAGAAGTTACTTTGGTGACTTCTTGACTCAATTTGCTCACAAAAAATATTAAACTACCAAAAATTGAATATTTTATTTATATAACAAAACCAAATATTTAATATTTGCAAACTAATTCAAAAGAGAATCACCTCATTAGAATTCTACTAAGGATAAACACCTCCCTAGAATCTCATTAGGGATGAACACCTCATTTGAACAAATCAAAGGATGAAAAAAGACCTCATTTTCCATCAATACATAAAGGATGAACATCTTCCTAAAATCACACTAGGGATGAAACAGAGATAGTTCTGAGTCTCTTTAGCATACTGCTCTAAAACCTAAAAGGGGATTAAACAGTAATCACTCAAACCCTAAACAGGGAATTTAACATCAAATTTTCCTAAAAATAAGAACAGTCACACTTGTGGAAACATTCACCATTTACCTAATATTCTCTGTGTTGGGAACTCCACAAACATCACCCCCAATTCCAAACCCATAAAATTAAATAAAAACAAAAGATTCAAAAAAGAACAGAGAACCCAATACAAGAAAAATTGAAATTTGAAACACTGTTTCTTTCTCAGTAAAACTTGAAACTTAAACTGAAATAAAAGGGAAAAACGAAGAAGAAGAATCCATAGTTTCCTCCACGGTTCCATCAGCAAGCAGAATTAGATTGGGGATGTTACCCCCAAATTTAAATTTTAGGGTTCACAAAAATTAGAGATTATTCTCTACTTAGGGTTCATAAAATTGGGTAGTTTGAATTGATTAAAACAAAATTAATCCTAATTTTCATAATTAGGGTTCTATAAATTAAACAGACATGAATCAAATATGGGCGGCTCTAATACCAATTGTTGGAAAATTAATAATAATAATAATAATAATAATCATGATTTTGATTCTAACGATCAAACATAAACATAATCTCATACTGATAAACATGTTGTAAACTGAATGCGAAAGCGTACCTGAATTAGCCATAATGATGATGTCTTTGTAGAGCACTGTATGGATCTTATGGTCTTCCACCTGTATTTCCCTCTTGATTTTCTCTCTTGATGGGGATAGAAAGAAAGGAACAGGAATGAATTACGTTATGTCTATGTGCTCCCAAAAGGGGACCACGACCCCTTAAAATAACCAAAATTAGGTTAATTACTTAAGTTTCAGTATTTCCAATTTGGCCCCTCATCAAATTAGAAATTGCTCAATGGTCTCTACACAATTTTGTTTTCATAACATATGCCTTTAGCCAAAACTTTAATTTAGTCAGATCACTTTATTATTTGGCTTAATAAATAATGACCCTAACACATTTAAATTATGTATCATATATATAGATTATCCAAATTTTGCCAACAAACTTTGGTTTCAAAAACCTTCAAAAGATGACACATCAAAGGAACAATTACAAATGTCTTATCTGTGAAAGATCACCGGTGCATCATTCAATTTCAATATTCATTCATAAAATATAACATATGTACATAACATAATATTTATTTATATTTTGGTGGTTTTATTAGTCTATTTTTGTCATACTTTATATTCTATTTATTATTATTATTATTATTATTATTATTATTATTATTATCAATTATGATAAATTGATAGAAATTAGAATGATGAAGGTTATTTCTAAAGTTGATAACCAAAGTTTAGATTTTGTTAAATGATGTAGAAAACAGTCTTTCAGAGAAATGAATCATAACATATACGTATAGGCATCTTAGAAGCAATGAAAGGCAAGTGGAGTTTATTACTTGTTAAAGTTATGTTTAAGAAAAATAAGAATTTAAAATTTATTTTTTTAATGGCCACAAGGTTTTCATCCCCTACTCTTGGCTACAGCTTTTCGATTTTGATACTTTGTGCTATACACAAAATATTCCCAAAATCATCAATTCTTAGAAAAACAAAAAATCAGGTTGTCTTCTGCTATCAAATCAAACTA